TGGTAGCGCACACCTGTAATCCCAGTTCCACGTATTGGCGGGTTGTGCTGTATACGTTTTGCTCGTATCCATCCCCCATTACTTGCCCAGCCCCTCTCTGCTATTCCCTCCTCCCTGCTTGTCATTTTTAGGTCCCACATATCAGGGAGAGCATAGGATACCTGTCTTTCTAAGTCTGGCTTATTTCTCTCAACTTGATGGTCTCTGGATCCTCCATTTTCTTGCAAAAGACAGAATTTCATTCTTCCTTGGGGCTGAATAATTCTCCAGTGTGTATACACACCACATTTTATCTACTCATGTGTTGGTGGGTATCTTGACTGGTTCCATATCTTGCCTGTTATGAATTGTACCGCAAGAAACATGGGTATAAGGTGTCCCTATACGCTGCCTTTCATTGCTTCAAGTGTATACAAAGAGTGGTGTAACTGGGTCGGACGGGAGCTCCGTGGTTAGCATTACGTGGACCCTCCATGCTGGTTTCCACAGTGGCTGTGCTAATTAACATTCTTACCAGTAGTAGAGAAGCATCCTCCTCAGCATTTATTGGTTTTTCTATTCTTTTTAAAAATGATTTTATTTTATTTTTATTTTTATTTGGTACCGGGAATCAAACTCAGGACCTTGCACTTACCAGGCAGGCGCTTGTGCCGCTGAGCTATATCCCTGGCCCCTTTTTTTTTGTATTCTTGCTGCCAGCCATTTTATGGGTGTGAGATGAAACCTCATTGTAGTTTTGATTTGCATTTCCCCAGTGGATAAAGATGTCAAACATTTTTTTCATACACTTTTTGGCCATTTTGTACTTTGTATTTTGAGAAGTGCCTCTTCCCCCCCACCCCTTTGAGACAGTGTCTCACTATGTAGCCCAGGCTGGCTTTGAACCTGTGTAGCTCAAGCTGGCCTTGAACTCATAGCAATGCTCCTGCCCTGGCCTCCCAAGTGCCGGGATTACAGACGTGTGCTGCCCCGCCCGGCTTGTAGTGTAATTTGAAATCAGGTATTGTGATTCCTACAGCCTTGCTCTTGTTGTTTAGGATTATTTCGGCTACTGTGTCTTTTCATGGTTCCATATGAATTTTAGGATGTTCTAGTTCTGTGGAGAATGTCATTGTGTTTTCATAGGAATTGCATTAAACCTATGGATCACTTTTGGTAAGGTGGCCATTTTGAAACTATTAATTCTGCCAATCCATGAACATGGGAGGTCTTTTTATCTTCTGGTTCTCCTAAATTTCTTCCTTCAGTATTCTAAAATTTTCACTGCAGAAGGGTTTCATGTTCTTGGTTAGACTGATCCCTAGGTTTTTTATTTTATTTGAAACTACTGTGAATAGAACTGTTTTCCAAATTTTTTTCACTGCTAGTCCATTATTGGTGTGTAGTAAAGCCATTTATCTTTTTATTCTTTTTTTTTGGTCTTTTTGAGACAGGGTCTCACTATGCAGTTCAGGCTGGCCTTGAGCTCACTTTGTAGCCCAGGCTGAAACTAACAATGATCCTCCTGCCTCAGCCTCCCAATTGCTGGGAGGCATGTGCCACCACGCCTGGCCCATTTGTCTTTTTTGCTGAATTTATTTATTTATCCGCTCTAAAAGTCTTTTGGAAACTGGACGTGGTGGTGCCTGTACTCCCAGCACTCGGGAGGCTGAAGTTGAAAGATCACCGTGAGTTTGAGGCCTGGGATACGTAGTGAGTTCAAGGCCAGCCTGAACTACGCAGCAACACCCTGTCTCAAAATAAAATAGTCTTTTGGTAGAGACTTTTGGGCCTTTGAATTATAAGATCATATCATCTGCAAACAAGGATGATTTGAGTTTTTCCTTTCCCCTTTAGCTTTGCTCTCTTGCTTAACTGCTCCAGTTAGAACGTGAGGAACTATATGGAATGAGGGTGGTGACAGAGGGCGTCCTCGGCTCGTCCCTAACCTGAGGGGAAATGCTTTCATCAGAACCACACTGTCTCCATTCCCTAGCTTTCTAGTGAGAGTCACAACCAGCAGTCCTTCTTTGTTTTCTTCTTGGTTTTTTGAGTTTGATTTTCTTTGCAGCCGCGGGCCTTCCTGGGGCTTGATTAGATATTCTCAAGGAGCAGCAGTGATACAAGCTCGTTCTTTTTCCAAGTTGTTTTGTTTATTTTGCTTTTATATAAAAAGGACGAGGAAGGAACTGTTTCCAAGCGTCTGCTTCCTGTGGCAGAGTAGAATCTGCCGTGATTAGTAAGAACAAATGCATTTAAACCTGCAGAGGGCAAAGCCTCGTGCTCGGAGGCTGTGCTCTCAGAAAGCTCCTAATGCCAGGAATGAACTTTGGCAAACTCCTCCGTGGACCGGTCCATCAGCCCATCCTCACTAACTTAGCGCAGTGGTTGGCTGTCAGAGTCTACCTCCTGGACCAGCCACGTAAGCAGAGTCAACGGGGAGATGGCAGGGGGTCTTCCTGGAAATGCTCTGGAGGCCTCGGTGGTATAAGGTAAAGGGAAGAGTCATTCATCTGCACACTTAATTTAAATTATACTTCAAAAAGGAGATGTCTTTTAGAGAAAAATGAAATATATTAAAAATGCAAGTTCTGATGGTAGGTGTTGTGGCACACACCTGTTATCCCAGCACTTGAGAGTTTGAGGTAGGAGAATTACACGTTCAAGGACAGCCTGTGCTACATAGTAAGACCCTGTCTTAGAAAAAAAAAAAAAGATATATAAATTCCGAGCCCTAACCCAGACTGTTGAGTCTTAAACTCTAGTTTGAGGCCCGTCAATCTGTTTTACAAACTTCCCGGGTGACTCTGATAGACGCTTACATTTGAGAGCCATTCCTTAATGTGTAAGGCTTGCTCTCAAAGATTTCCTAATTCGGAGTTGGAACTGGAAAGATGGCCAGCTGGGCGTGGTGGCGCATGCCTGTAATCCCAGCAGTCGGGAGGCTGAGGCAGGAGGATCATTGAGAGTTCAGGAGAGAAAGAAAGAAAGAGCAAGAGCAAGAGAGAGAGCGAGAGAAAGAGAGAGAGCGAGAGAAAGAAAGAGAAAGAGAGAAAGAAAGAGAGAAAGAGAGAGAGAGAGAGAGAGAGAGAGAGAGAGAGAAAGAGAGAAAGAGAGAAAGAGAAAGAAAGAAAGAAAGAAAGAAAGAAAGAAAGAAAGAAAGAAAAAAGAAAAGAAAGATGACCAGTGGCCTGCGATGCAGTAGGGCATCTGTGCAGGAAGGGATTAGTGCCCTGCAAATGCAGGAGCGGTCGAGAGGTCAGGCCAGTCCAAGCCTGGCCTTGAAGGGGCAGAGCACTGGGACCGGCTTTGAAACCCAGCCCCGTGCCCCTGCGTGGAGAGAGCCCCGGCGCAGTGCGTTGAGCCCTCTGCAGGGTGAGAGGGCCTGTGCCTAGCTCTTCGCGTGCGGCTGAGCCCTGGAAACGTGGCCATTGTAACTGAGGGATTCACTGTGAAGTTTTATTTAACTGTACCTAATTCACATTCAATCCCTGCGTCAGGCTGGCGGTTGCCGTGCTGCACCTGTAGCTGTAGTTCCTGCTTACCTCCTGGCGACCACCTTCAAGTGAAGGTTAAACTAGTTGCAGGTCAGGCTCTGTGAGTCAGAGCTGGCCATGATTAGCCGCTTGAACGTGACACCCACCAAGAAGAATACACTTTCTCAAAATAACAATGTTTTAAACTTAGGAGAATAAAAAGTGGGTATGAGCACTACCATTGCTAAGGTTTTGTTTTTTTTTTAATTATTACATTCAGTATCTAAAAATAAATAGCATTGTTGAATGACTGCTGTAATTTTAGGCCATCAGTGACCACATAAACCACAGAAGTAAAGCCTAGACTCTAATTTAAGGAAGGTGATTGTGCAGGCCTTGACTGTCCGAAGGATGACCCAGTGCAGAGTCAGACTGTAGCAAAAAGAAGGCAAAAGGGAAGAGTACTGTGAGAAGAAAACGGGACCAGCCGCACTCACGGAGAGGGCCTGGGAGGCTGGGATTTGTATTTAGATTTCCTACGTACTTACTTACCTACTTACTTTTGAGACAGAGTCTCACTATGTAGCCTGGGCTGGTGGCGAACTCTCTGTGATCCTCCTGCCTCAGCCTCCCGAGGGCTGGGATTACAGGAGTGCCAAGCTAAGGTCCTGAGTTTTAAATGTTTGGGGGCTAATAAGGAGGGATAAACTTGAGACATTCCTAGGTAAATGGATACACCTTGAGACGCTACTCAAGTGAAATAAATGGGACACACATACGTAAATACCACATTCTCCGATGCGAGAAACTGAAAGTGTAAAGAAAGACCAACATGTGTCCTAGGTATTGTGGAAAAGGAAGATGTTCAAGTGGAGAGGGGGACAAGGGAGGAGGGAAGGGAAAGGAAAGCAGGGAACAGTAAAAAAAAAGTGAGAAAAGGAGGAAAAAATAGCCGGGCGTGGTGATCTCCAAATTGAAAATCTGGAAACGGGCGTGGTGGCGCACACCTGTAATCCCAGCACTTGGTAGGCTGAGGCAGGAGGATCCTTGTGAGTTTGAGACCAGCCCGGGCTACAAAGTGAGCGCAAGGCCAAACTGAACTGCATAGCGAGACCCTGCCTCAAACAGACAAAGTGAAAAAAGAAAGAAAAAAATGGAAACAAAGCTTTTGTAATTGGAGAGGGGAGGAGATGTTGAAGGAAGGGTAGGAAAATGAGGAAAAAAGAATCAAGTTATATCATGTACAGGTAGAAATTCTCTATGATGAATGTGATCGTTAGGTATATCTAAAATATACTGGGCTGGGGATGTAGCTCAGCGGCACAGTGCCTTGCCTGGCAGGTGCAAGGCCCTGAGTTTGATTCCCAGTACCAAAAAAAGAGAAAATAGTAAAAAATAACGTGTACCACTAAAATCTGATTTAAAAACTAAAGTAAATAAATAAATGCTTGTAGGCTATTCTTTTTAAATCTTTGAGTTTCCAGATTTTCAATTTGGAGATCAGTTTCAAGCTCTGTGGACTGAGAGAAGCATCTCAGTGTAACATTTCCAAAGCCAAAGATGAATCAGCTTCAGAGGAGCCAGCTTCTCAAGAGATCAGGGCCGTTGTAACTGAAGCAGAGGCAGGAGGGTTTCCACACGGCGTCTGACAAACTGAGGCCCATCCACACACAGATGGACTTATTTCTGCTTACCATTTCCTCCCTCTATGACTTTCATGTTATAAACGTGTTTTCTTCGAAAAAAATGAAAATATCAACAGGAAGGATGGGAAGGGTAGATACATGTCATTATGCATTTGTCTAGACCCATAGATTGTACAACACCCCAGAGAGTTTTTCTGTGGTGGCAGGATGTCAACAAGGGGCAGGGTGTGCCTGTGTGGGGATGGGGTGCGGTATGTGTCAGATATCTCTGTACCTTCCTCTCAACTTCCCTGTGGACCTGAAACTGCTCTAAAAAAATTATCCAAAAAAAAAAATTATACATTTTTAAATTTATTTTTCTCTTTTTGAGACAGGGTCTCACTATGCAGTTCAGGCTGGCCTTGAGCCCACTTTGTAGCCCAGGTTGGTCTCGAACTCCCAACAATCTTCCTGCCTCAGCCTCCCGAGTGCTGGGAGTGCTGGGATTACAGGCGTGCGCTGCCATGCAGCTCATGTACTTTAAATCATCTCTAAATCACTTCTAATAGCCAATACCAGGGAAATGCTGTATGAATAGTTGCAGCCTGTTGTTTAGGGAATAGCAGAACAGGTTTCATACAGACACAGTTTCCCCCTAAATATTTTAGATCTGTGGTTGGTTGAATTTACAGATGGACGCCATGGAGGCAGAGGGCTGCCTCTCCACCGTTTCCTAACTTGCTTTTTTGTTGAGCAGTGTGTCAGTACTTGCATGTCTGCATCATCATTCGTGGATGTGCTATCATTTGCTTAACTGACTCCCCCTAAGAAGTTATGGATAACTTGCTATCATAAACAACCTCCCCCGGAATGCTCTGTCACATATCGTTGTGCCACTGTTCAATTATTTCCTCAGGATAAACTTCTAGAAGTAAAATCAGTGCATTCAAAGCATATGACACGGGGCTGGGGATGTAGCTCAGCGGCACGGCGCCTGCCTGGCAAGCGTTGTGAGTTTGATTCCCGGTACCAGAAAAAAAAACAAACAAACAAAAAAAAGCATACGGCACATCGTTAGGATTTCTGATACGTGTATCAAATGCCCTACCCTCTGTAAAGGCTGAATTTGTTTATTATTCCCTCAGCTTTCTCAAGAGAAATTATTCTGACCTCTCAGATTCTTCTGCAGGCTACAACTTTAAAAAAAAATCACAACCCATCACTCAGGGCTTTCCACGTCCAGGGCAGAGGCAGGGAGAGCAGTCGGCATCCGCCACAGGCGCCCTTCTCACCTGTGGTCTCTTTTTCTCTTTTTCAGAGCGAACTAGACGTATCCTTTTTCCATAGTGACTTCCAGGGCGTGGGGAAGCAACTGTAGTTCTAACGAGGTAAGTGTCACAGAGCAGGGGACCACTCGGCAGAACCAGAATGTCACCAGCAGCCGTGACCAGGCAGCCAGAGGCTCGGAACTTTCAGTCTCCATCCCACCCTTGTTTACAAAAGATTCTTTTTAATTTTTTTTTTTTAAATAGACAGGACAATGCTAGGATAGTGGCTAATAAAAATAGCATCTATTACTCTAACTTCTGTGAAACATGTGGATAAGTTTGTTTAAAGTTGAAATAACACAGCCAGACAATGCTTGGTCTCAGAGACTGGATTTTCAGGGCTCCAGGTGTAAATCTCCACAAGGTTCCTTCATGATCAGAAGGCCCTGAGGATTGATCCGTGGGAGGGTTAAAGAAATTTTGCCTAGCATGTGTTCATTTCCTTTCATAGCAGAACAAATTCTGCTTTCCTTTGCTGTCTTAAATCAAGAGACCGCAAGGACCCCCACGCCGAGTGAGACGTGCTTGGTGCACTGCGGGCCCGCCGCTCTCGGCAGGAGCCCGCTAGGCTCTGTGTGAGCGTTCCAGGGCCTGTTTAACTTTTTACTTCAAAAATCTGCCTGCTGCCAGAAAATAATGAAGACGTCCTTTGAGAACAGGCTTGAATCTAAAATAGTGATATTAATTGTGACAAATGTTTATTAACATATATACTTAGTGTGTAACTTGCATATGAATTATACCATACACTTATATTTATATATGTTTGTGTATGTGTATGTGTGCCTATATCCAGAACCAGTTTTTTGTTTTGTTTTGTTTTTGGTACCAGGAATTGAACTCCAGACCTCGTACAGCTTGTCAGGCAGGTGCTGCGCCACTGAGCTGTATCTCCAGCCCAGAACCAGTATGTCTGCATCAACTTAACATCCCGGAGAAATGACCATTTACCTGTTACTGTTGATAAGAAATGTCATCATGTCGATAAAATTCATCGGCAGCCTGCCTGTCAAGTGCAAGGTCCTGAGTTCGATTCCCAGTACAAACAAACAAACAAAAAAATTCATTTGCAGGCAGTTTGGAAGCCCCTTTAAATTAACTGAAAAAAAGTGTGTGCCCTCTAGTGGTGAGTGACCTAAACCTATGATCCCTTTGACCTAGGAGACACCAGACCAGGCCTGGTCTAGTTTTTTATTCAGCATCCAACATTCTCTTTTACCTAAGCTGTTTAAAGCAATTAGAAATAAATCTTCTGCTTGGACAGCTGTTTTTAAAAAAGATTTTTGCAGCTGGGAGTGGTGACACATGCCTGTAATCGCAGCACTCTGGAGGCTAAAACAGGAGATTGCCTCGAATTTGAGGCCAGCCTGAACTACAAAGTGAGACCCTCTCTCAAAAAAAAAAAAAAAAAAAAAAGACTTTCTAGCCAGTGTGATGCACACACTTGTAATCCAAGCACTCTGGGCCATTGAGGCAGAAGAATCAACTTCAAGTCCAGTCTAGCAAGACCCTGTCTCAAAATAAAAATTAAAAAAGTTCAAGGCCAGCCTGGCCAACTTTATGACTTAGTGAGACCATATCTCAAAATAAGAAATATTCAGAAAGGGCTGTAGAGCAGTTGGAGGGCCCTGGTTCAATCCCAAGTACGAGAAAAGGGAGGGGGAGCAGTACTTTTCAAAAAGGCTCCGGAGGATGGCAGGGAGTGATAGACACTCTGTTGGAAGGCCATAGAAACTCAAGACCCACCCTGAGCTCACCACCAGCTCCCTGTGTGTATTGGACAAGACGTAGCAGCCCTCACACAGAGAGTAGATCACGGGAGCAGCAGTCAGGTGTAATAGGGTAATGGGATGTGTATTATAGTCGAATGAGTTGTGTTGATAGGCCATAAGTTAGGTGTTTACTAGAAGTAGAGACAGGTGTGCTTATCTTTTTTTTTTTAGGTATGAGAAACCCAGGGCCTCACACTGAGCTTCATCTACAGCCTTTTCTTAAAAAAGAAATAAATAAATAAGTTTTTAAAAATTTTTTTAAAGATAAAGTCTGTGTCTAAGTTGCTCAGGCTGGGAACAGACTTGCAGTTCTCCTGCCTCGGCCTCCTAGAGTGCTGGGGTTACAGGTGCGCGCCACCACACCCACCTCGGTGCACTTGTCTTTGTATTCGTTTGCTGTGTAGCGTGTCTGTGGGATGGTTACCAGCATTCTAGTTTCAATGTAATTGCCACACACACACACACAGCTGGAGTCTTTTCCCACTTTTAACCTGGTTTCATTTTCCCTCTTCCATATCTGACTTCATGGGGCACCTCTCTTCTGTGGACATTCTTCAAAGGTCTCCGCCCTCAGCCATGTGGAAAACAAAAACTAAAACTAAAACAGAACCTTCCAACCCAGGCCTCTCCTCTGCTCCTCAGAGTCCTCTTTAGCTCTCAGCCGTCCGAGAGGACATGGACAGCTCAGGTACACAGTAGAAATACAGAGGACCCTGTAGACACTCAGCGGCACTTTCCCGCTCTGGGCGTCGGGCGCACTTTCTGCATCGCTGCTCTTTAGCTCGCAGCTGGGACTGCCGAGCAGCTAGCATCGCTGGGGTCTGCGCTGTCAGGAAAGCTTGGTAGGCCCGAAAGGTTGAAAACATGCAACTCCTGTAATTGCAACCTGGAGGGGGTTCTCCCAGCACTAGCACATAATCTTTCTGTGTTTGTTCAGGCACAGGAAAGCCCTCCTCGTCAGCCCCCTGTAGCAGACATGGTTTAAGGCAAATGAAGGAAGTTAAAACCTCACGCAATTCCTAAGAAGCCCCTTACAGTCGTTTTCTGCAGAAGTTTTTCCATCCTGATGCCTTTTAAAGGTGGGGAAGTTTTTCAGAGCCTGCGGGGTTCAGCTGAGAAGTCGAGTGGACCATTTACATTTCTCCCTAGTATGGGACTGTGCCACTTCCAGCAGGGCTGACATTACAGCATAAGACAGATGGGATTTAAAAAAGAAATGACCCAAGTGCAGGAAACCAGGGCAGAATTTCTGACGTGTTGGAACCTTTCCATCCCAGTAAGTGGAAAGCCTCTGGCGCAGTGGTGTCAGGTGCGGCCGACTGTCCCTCAGGTCCCAGCGCGGCCCTGGCCCAGATCCTTCACACGCTGGGAATAGGCTGTGCAGGCTTCCCGCTCCTCACCCCGCCCTCGCTGCTCAGGAGGCCCGTTTTAGAGGGAAAGTTTACGCTGGCCCCCAGCTTGGTAGACTTACTTAAGACCTCAAATTCCACGACCTAAGATTGTTTTTTTAAAAATCACTTGATGAGCTTCCTAAATCGTGCTGGCTCGGGAGCCCCGGGAAGCTTGTATTCTCCAGACAGTTCCTAATTCGAAGGAGCTGGGTCTGCCTCCATCTGCTAACTGGTCAGCGGATGGCACCAGCGGGCAACGGTTTCCCGACTCCTCGATTCAGGTGCAGCTGCTGAAGCACAAAGAACAACAGCCTTTTTGGTATTTGGAGCCTTAAAGTTAATGCCTGCTGCCAGCTTTGGGGGAGGTCCCTCCTCCTCCCCTACGCTGGGCCTGGGGCAGGAGTCTGAATAGGTAGGTGGGGATGGCAGTTAAGCAGGGAGCAGGTCCCCCTCCCTGTACAAATACAGGGTATGCAGAATGTTTTCTTGGTTTAAAAACCTCTTTAGAACATTCCTGTTTTTATTCTTTAAAGCCCCAAGGGCTGAGCAATTAATTCTAGAACCCTGAAGCTCCTGCAAGGACAGCCGCCTACTTCATGCCGTCTTTATTTGTCCAAATGTGGGAGCATAAGAAGGGGCCATAGTGCCGCACCCGTGGGGTGCCAGGATGCAGGCCATGGGGATGCACACTACCCAGAATCAGGACCCAGGACTCACCCCCATTTTCTAAAATCCTCCACTACCTGGAGAGGTCCTGGAACCAGAAGAGAGCTTTTCTATGTAGGAGATAACCTCATCCCAATTTAATGAGAAATTGCGAAAGTACTCGTTCCACCCAGGAGCTAGAGAAACACTGGCTAGAAGACGCATTCTCCAGGGAAGCCATCTCACACCGAAGTGGCGGCTTCTCAATGAACTGAAATTCCCGGCATGTTCTCTCAGAAAGTTATAATCCTGATTAATTAATGGCGTGACTACAAAACGCTTTCTTTTGCGGCATGCTGGAGCACATGACTATTTTAAGAATGACTTGACTTGATGTTAACAGAAAGGGGTAAACCAGGATCCCTCACCCCAGAGCTTGTATTTAGAGTCATAGGGGCTGAGTACTTTGGAGCTGGAAGAAACCTGAACAGCTCCTAGTTAAGCATTGCTTTTGAGAGGAAGAGGCTGAGACCCAGGGACAGCCTGTAATGCACCCCAATCCACAGAGCTGCTTTGGGGCAGAGCTGGTACTGGTCTCTACGTTTCCAGGGCTCTTGACTAAAGGGATAGAAAGCAGGCAGATTACAGTTGATACTATTTTGTTTTGTTGGGTTTTTTTGGTACCAGGAATCCAAGTCAGGACCTTGCACTTGCCAGGCAGGCTCATGTGCTGCTGACTATATCCTGGGCCCTATTTTATTTTGTTTGGAAATAGGATCCCGCTGTGCTGCCCAGGCTGGCCTCAGACTTCTGGGCTCAAGTGACCCTTCTTCATCCTTCAGGTGCTTCCTGGCTTCTCTGGCTCCCACCAGCACTGGCAGCTCTGCTTTTCACTGAGGTCTACGTCCTCAGGGCTCCACACCCAGCCACTGCTCTCTTTCTCCACTGGGCCCCTCAGCCTCCCCCGACTCTTTTTATTCCATGCTTCTGGGTTCTGTTTTAGTCAGAAGACAGGGTTTTCTGACTGAACACTGGCTTTCACGTTTAATTTTGCATAAGCAAAACTGTAGGCAAGCTTACACCTCAGTGTCCTGTTATTCCAGGAGATGAATGGGTCTTTAAGGATAAGATACGCTCCTGTCCAGTGGCCTAATTGACAGAGACAAGGCCTGACCGTGACCCACAGCCTCTGCTGCAGGAGTCTCCCATAGTCTCTATGGTGGTGTTCGAATTCTTGTGGGAAACGTGAACACAGTGGCCCTTGGCAGCTTTTCTACTTTCGTAGAAAATTGAATTTCAGCACAATAAGAGATAAGTATCTTCCCGCCCTACTTTTGTGTTAGAGAACTCTGTTTAGCTAGGATCAAGTGAGAAGCCAAGGGACCTAAGTTAGGAATTTTAGTTTCTAGGCTGGGCTGTGCCCTAGAATTGTCTTGAAGGTCCCACCTGAGTCGCTGCTGCTTGGTGTTTTCACTTATTAAAGGATAGCAGGGCCACCACGGCGGCATTAAAATACCATACTAGAAAAGTGCTTTGTGATCCAGAGTTCAAAATTCCAACACAGGATCTATAAACTTTTTGTTGTTGTCTTGTTTTTTTGAGAGAGGGTCTCCTTACATAATTCAAGCCAGCTCTGAACTTACTGTGTAGCCCAGGATGGCCTTGAACTCATGGTGATCCCCCTGCCTCAGCTTCCTGAGTGCTGAGGGTATAGGTGAGCACCACCACACCTGGCTGTTTTTGTATTCTGGGTTTTTGGTGTGGGGTTTTTTGTTCTTTTTTTTTTTTGAATCTGTAAACATTTTAATCACTTTAACTAAAAATTGATTTCAAGCTGGGTGTTGTGGGACACACCTGAATTCCCAGCACTCTAGACTGATGTAGGAAGATCACAAATTTCAGTCCAGCCTGGATAATTTAAGTTACTTAAGGAGACTGAAAATTTTCAAAGGGTTGGGGATGAGGTACAAAGGCCCAGATAACCCCAGTACCATCAGGAATGTCTAAGTGGCACTAACATTAATGGTCTTGCTATGTTCAGCTCCAGTCCATATTACATAAAAGTTTAGAAAGGGCCTCAGGCTTTGTGGTTGAGAGAAAGTGGGACTTGAGTAACTGCGCTGGGAAGCTGTTTTTAGTTCATGTCAGGTCCACAAGGCCCAGGAAAGGAGCAAACTGCCTAAGGCTCCGTAGAGTCAGTTAAATTCAATATAGCCCTAAGTGCGTTCCCACCGCAGTGGTCATTCTCAGCTGACTAAATTAATAGCCCCACAGTCCTGTCCTTTCTTGTTTCTTTCTGTTTCAAATGTCAGGGTTGAAGTGTGTTTGTCTGTGTTTATTGCCGGGAGGCTTGGCATGTGGGGTATGTTTTTCAGTCCCTGCTCTCCTGGCACAAGGCCCAAGTGCCCAAATCTTGGCTTCCCCAGTGTGTACAAGGTGCTCATAAACCAAATCAAGATGTGGACAACAGCTGGATTCTTATTTTAAAGGAGTCACATGGGCACAGGGCAAGCTATCAGGCCTCGCCTCGCATCGCCTTTGGTCTGTGGTTTTCCCATACAGTGCCAGAAGGTGCATGATTTTTAGGGTTTGAGCCAGATACACGAGAGGCAGTCACGTGCCCCCGGTACAGCACGGCCTCGCAGAGTAGCTGCAGAGGCTGTTGAGACCTGCAGGCTTGCCGAAGGACTTTGTCCTTGCAAAGTGGGGATGTCAGTGGCTGATATAATTCAGCAGTAAATTCTGAGCCCAGTTTCAAAACATTTGGGCACTTGCTTCATGGGACATCTGAACTTCACATCATCTGCTTACTAGAGATGGAGCAGTTCTCAGAGCAACCGGATCCCTAAACCAATTCAAACAGGTTAACCTGAGATTGTCTTTCCTCAAAGAAAATAACATTGTCAAAGGCACCGAGGCGTCCGTTTCCCTTAGTGAATAGGGTCAGGGTTCTGCAGGCTTTTCGTTGGATCTGTTTTCACGCAGTTAACCTGTGCTTCTCCTCTCTGCCTTTTTGTTTACCTGGTTGTCTTTTCCACTAAGTCTCAAGCTTGTAAATTCTGGCTTCTGAGGCTGGGGATCAGGTTGGAGTCAAAGGCCTAACATTTGTTCCAGTCCCAGTTTGGCCCTGGGACAAAGCAATCATCTATGTAATTGGAAGACATTATTAATAGGTATAACAGAGAAAAGCTGTTTTTTTTTTTTTCTGGGTCACTTAGGGACAGTTCCCATCGGCTCCTGAAAAAGTTTATTCCGCTGAAGGACTATTTGCACAGAGATTAATGAGAGGATAACACAGAATCTAGTGGAAGCTTAGAATTCATTCACAGGTTGTCCCCTTCTCTACGGATGTACTTCACTAAGCAAACACAGCACAAACCGAGCATCTGGAATTACTGAAAAGAATCGCATGGAATGATTTGTTACCATGATCCACTAGTTGATTTGTTACCATGATCCACTAGAACTCTCCAACTGTGTTTAATCACCCATTTATTGAATGAAGTTTGTCTATTTGAAACACACTGTTTTTTTAAACTTTTTTTGAATTATTATTTTTTTTTTTTTGGTACTGGGAATCGAACTCAGGACCTTGCGCTTGCCAGGCAGGTGCTTGTGCTGCTGAGCTATATCCCCAGCCTTTTTTTTTTTTTTTTTTTTTTTTTAAAAAAAAAACAAAACAGACCTCTTTGGCCAGGGATATGGCTCCATGGGACAGCGCCTGCCTGGCAAGTGTAAGGTCAAGTTCCATTACCAGTACAAAAAAAAAAAAAAAAAAAAAGAAAGAAAGAAAAAAAAGACCTCTTTGAAGATAGAAACTTCAGATCTTAAGTGTGTAAAATTCAGAAGCATTCAACTTTTGCCATAATCTGACTCCAGGTCCCTTTCTTTCACAAAAGAAAAATTAGGTACTCCAATGTAGAGGTTTCTTAGGGAAGAATCTGGCTCTTTCTAGTTTGCCAGATATTACTGGCTATTTCTTTTCCCCCTGTATTATAGTAACTTGTTCAGTAAGAACACCAATCAGCTACATTGACTCCATAACTCACAGATGGTTTCTTAGAACTCTCCATTTGCAAAAGAAGTTCAGAACTTTGCTCATCCTTAGGAATGTAGTCAGCACACCTTGCCTTCCTCCTTTATTCATTTCTCATTATTTTTACTTCAGTTTGGCAGTAAGCTAACTGAATGTGTAGGGTTATAAAGGCAGTTTGTTTCAGAGTAGAGAGTTGGGGGCGGAGGGAAGGTGTCTGTTTGTTAGCCTCAGGCCCCTCCTGAGAAGCCTAGCAAACAGCAGTGGAGCCCAAATTTTGGCTTAAATTCTAGCACTAGACACTGGCTTTGAGCTGTCTGCTCCTGGGTAAGTGAGGATAGTACATAATGTGTACCTCAGAGTGGTAGGGAATAAAATATGTAAAACATGCAACACATGTTTTGGAAGGAGAGGAGTATCCAACGCATCACTGCTATTGTTCTTATCTCAGGAGACAACATCTTTCTGGTCAGATCCTTCTCTTGCCAAATATTACTTGCTTTGACCTCTAGCTTGAAATACACTCTCTCCTTTTGGCTAAAAAAGAATATAGCTCTTTCTTTTTATTTTATTTTATTTTATTTTATCTTTTTGAGGCAGGGTCTTGCGATGCATTTCAGGCTGGCCTGGAGCTCACTTTATAACCCAGGCTGATCTCAAACTCACAACGCTCCTCCTGCCTCAGCCTCCCGAGTGCTGGGATTACAGACGTGCACCACCCACCACCACACCCGGCTAGCTCTTTCATTTTTATGTGTACTTATTCCATTAGCTTAACCAAGATAAGAGTAGATATGTATATGTGAAGGTAGTACTTTCTAATATGATACCAACTTTAATCTTGAGAATTCTCTTTTTTTTTTTTTTTTTTTTTTTTTTT